GGGGGTTACAACCAGCCCAGCCTAGGATATGGACAGAGTAACTACAGTTATCCCCAGGTACCTGGGAGCTACCCCATGCAGCCAGTCACCGCACCACCATCCTATCCTCCTACCAGCTACTCCTCTTCCCAGCCGACTAGTTACGATCAGAGCAGTTACTCTCAGCAGAACACCTACGGGCAGCCGAGCAGCTATGGACAGCAGAGTAGCTATGGTCAACAAAGCAGCTATGGGCAGCAGCCTCCCACTAGTTACCCCCCCCAAACTGGATCCTACAGCCAGGCTCCAAGTCAATATAGCCAACAGAGCAGCAGCTACGGGCAGCAGAGTTCATTCCGACAGGACCACCCCAGTAGCATGGGTGTTTATGGGCAGGAGTCTGGAGGATTTTCCGGACCAGGAGAGAACCGGAGCATGAGTGGCCCTGATAACCGGGGCAGGGGAAGAGGGGGATTTGATCGTGGAGGCATGAGCAGAGGTGGGCGGGGAGGAGGACGCGGTGGAATGGGCAGCGCTGGAGAGCGAGGTGGCTTCAATAAGCCTGGTGGACCCATGGATGAAGGACCAGATCTTGATCTAGGCCCACCTGTAGATCTGGATGAAGACTCTGACAACAGTGCGATTTATGTGCAAGGATTAAATGATAATGTGACTGTGGATGATCTGGCAGACTTCTTTAAGCAGTGTGGGGTTGTTAAGATGAACAAGAGAACTGGGCAACCCATGATCCATGTATACCTGGACAAGGAGACAGGAAAGCCCAAAGGTGATGCCACAGTGTCCTATGAAGACCCACCAACCGCCAAGGCTGCTGTGGAATGGTTTGATGGGAAAGATTTTCAAGGGAGCAAACTGAAAGTGTCTCTGGCCCGGAAGAAGCCTCCAATGAACAGCATGCGGGGTGGCATGCCGCCCCGGGAGGGCCGAGGGATGCCGCCGCCCCTCCGCGGAGGTCCAGGTGGGCCCATGGGTCGCATGGGAGGCCATGGAGGAGACCGAGGCGGCTTCCCCCCGAGAGGGCCCCGGGGTTCCCAAGGGAACCCTTCTGGAGGAGGGAACGCCCAGCACCGAGCTGGAGACTGGCAATGTCCCAACCCGGGCTGTGGAAACCAGAACTTTGCCTGGAGAACAGAATGCAACCAGTGTAAGGCCCCGAAGCCCGAGGGCTTCCTGCCACCACCCTTCCTGCCCCCGGGTGGCGATCGTGGCAGAGGCGGCCCTGGTGGCATGAGGGGTGGAAGAGGTGGCCTCATGGACCGCGGTGGGCCCGGTGGAATGTTCAGAGGGGGCCGTGGTGGAGACAGAGGTGGCTTCCGTGGTGGCCGGGGCATGGACCGAGGTGGCTTTGGAGGAGGAAGACGAGGTGGCCCAGGGGGTCCACCTGGACCTATGATGGAACAGATGGGAGGAAGAAGAGGTGGCCGTGGAGGACCTGGAAAAATGGATAAAGGGGAGCACCGCCAGGAGCGCAGAGACCGGCCCTACTAGACGCTGACGCCCGCAGAGCCGCATTGACTACCAGATTTATTTTTTAAACCAGAAAATGTTTTAAATTTATAATTCCATATTTATAATGTTGGCCACAACATTATGATTATTCCTTGTCTGTACTTTAGTATTTTTCACCATTTGTGAAGAAACATTAAACAAGTTAAATGGTAAAAAAAAAAAAAAAAAAAAGAAAGCCAAGATACTGTGGCAAAAAATATCCTACATGAAGGATCTCTGTAGGTGAGACCCCAGTGGAAAGAGAGACCCATCAAAGAAGGATGTACTTTTTTTCTGAAGGGAGGAGAGAATTTCCACTTTGCCTATGGTCTTGTCCAAATTTGATGCAGTCTGTGGTCATGGAGGGCTTCCATAGCCTTGGCAGGTCATGGCAAGAGTCTTGGGTGATGACTGACGTCATAAATAAGAATGCTAATTGCTAAATGAACAGCAGGAGTCACTGTGCACTTACTCCCCATGTAGGAGCTCTGTCCTTAATGAGTTGTACTATGGGGGTTGACTGCAAAACTTGTTCTCAAACTGTACTTTATATGTTGTGTGTGTGGGTGAGTGCAAACTGTTGAAATCTTTACCTAGCACCGAGTTGGTTCTTTGTATATGAAGTTAAACTAAAAATGAATCATAGTGAAGAATGGGGTGGGAGAGGGAGTGGGAAGTAGGATGGGAGTGGGGATGGGAGGGCGGGTATGGGGGAAAGAATCACTGTATTCCTAAAATTGTACTTATGAAATATGCATTCATTAAATAAAAGCTTAAATTTTTTTTAAAAATCAATTACAAAGGTCAACCAGGTTTGAATAGGCATACACAGTGTATTTTCTTTTTTTGAAGCCTTTTATTTACTGAGTATAAATTTCATAAGTACATCTTTAGGAATATAGTGTTTCTTCCCACCATACCTGCCTTTTTCACATCCTCCTCCCTCTCTCCTCTCAAAAAAGGATAAAAATATTATAGAATATTATGCACACACTCCAAGTGCTCCCAAGAAGAGGACTTCTATTATGAAAGCATAAACCACAGAAAAGTACCATGTTTGAGGAGTAATAGCTGCTCAGTGAGGTAGAAGGATGATTTTACTTTTCACTCTATATACTTCTGGACTTTGAATTATTTACCTATGATTTTCTGTGTATATAAAACTATTCACATTTAAAGAAAGCTGATATTAAACATTCAACTGGCAAGTGCTATTTTAATAATAATAATAATATATTATGCCCCAATCATTTAAAAATGTTTCAGTAATATCTACAAGATTAACTATATCGATAATTATTTTAACTTATCCTTTAAAAAGTTTATTTCAAAAGCCTAAAGGAATTGTAACAGTAAAATATATAATGATAAAGGAACACAAATATAAACAGTTTGGGAAATACACTTAGGAAACATGCAGACCCTGGTAGGAGAAATGTACCAAACAATTCAAAAGCATACAAGCGGGCCGGTGCTGTGGCTCACTTGACTAATACTCCACCTGCGGTGCCAGCACCCCGGGTTCTAGTCCCGGTTGGGGCACCGGATTCTGTCCCGGTTGCTCCTCTTCCAGTCCAGCTCTCTGCTGTGGGCCCGGGAACGCAGTGGAGGATGGCCCAGGTCCTTGGGCCCTGCACCCGCATGGGAGACCTGGAGGAAGCACCTGGCTCCTGGCTTCGGATTTGCGCAGCGTGCCGGCCGCAGCGGCCATTTGGATGGTGAACTAACGGAAAAGGAAGACCTTTCTCTCTGTCTCTCTCTCACTGTCTAACTCTGCCTGTCAAGTTATCATGGTGTTATTTCTCCCTAAGTTAAGTGTTTTAAAATCAAAGCCATTCCAATTTTAAAAAAGAAAATGGGTGTTGCCATTGATGGTGGGGGGGGGCTAAATACAGTTGTTTAAAAAATGACATCATGATGACAGCCAGTAGAAATGGACAAGGAATTTCCAAAGACGTTGCACCTGATTACCAGGATCACAAACACTGAATATATGTTATAATGTTTCAGTGATCCAAATCTTTGATTATAAGTTCAGGACAAGATAACACAACCCAATGAGTATGGCGTGATGTCCCAAGTGTTCCAAATAACTATGGGGACGTAGTGTATAATAAAAAGGGACACTTCAACTTAGTACAGGAGACATGGACTACTGCATTAAAAGGATAGGGCCAGCAAGACAAAAATGAACAAAACAAAAATCTGTATTCTCTCAGGGGCTACATCTAAATCAATTCCAGGCAGGTAGTATATTTAGATGTAAACAAATAAATAACTTTGAGAGGAAAACATAAGCAATACCTTTGTAAATTTTGAAGCACATGGGCCTTTGTAAGGATTCTTATTGAACCCAAAAGCCATATGGATAAGATGGACACATTTGTAGTACTGAAAACATTAAACTCCATGAAACACAATTGAAATACAGTCTTGGGGGACTAGCGCTGTGGCTTCAAGGGTAAAGCTACTGCCTGCAGTGCTGGCATCCCATATGGGAGCCTGTTCGAGTCCCGGTGGCTCCACTTCCCATCCAGCTCCTTGCTATGGCCTGGGAAAGCAGTAGAGGATGGCTCAAGTTCTTGGGCCCGTGCACTCGTGTGGGAGACCTGAAGAAGCTCCTGGCTCCTGGCTCTAGATCTGCACAGCTCCGGTCATTGTGGCCAATCAGGGAGTGAACCAGCAGATGGAAGACCTCTCTCTCTCTGCCTTTCCTTCTCTCTCTGTGTAACTCTGACTTTCAAATAAATAAATATCTGGAAGATATTATCTGGAAATATCTGGAAAATGTTCATTCCATAAATTTCCTAACAAACCTCTAATATCTCTAATATATAAATAGCTCTAATAGCCCTCTTAAATAAATAGCTCTAGAAATGAAAGCTATTCCATTCTCACTGACACATTGAAAAGTGCAAATATAATTATGAGACCCCTGTTTACTGTTCAGATTGCCAGAGAGTCCAAAGATTGACAACGCTTTTCATTTGTGCCAGGCAGTCTCACAGTCTGCTACTGAGAGTGCCAATTAGTATAATATAGCTGAACCATCATTTTATTATACCAATTAATGTGGCAAATATATAGACTTAAGTGATAGCTGTGAATCTCTGTAACTTCACTAAAAATACCATCAATTTATGCTTATTTTAAAACTGGAGAACCTCATAGAAGATTAATTATACCTCAATAATGATTTTTAAAAAATTATTAACAAATGCAGAAATCTATTACTTAGGTAAAAAAGAAAGCTGCAAGGTAGTACTGACTGAAATAATTGTAATTGTTACTCAAAATTTTAAATGCTAAAGAATTGATGTACACTTTTGAAAAGAAACTGCTACAAAAATAAGAACAAATGTCCCATACAATTCAGACTTCCAATTGCATTCAACAAATACTATACCAGGAAAGCTCAGAGAGAGTGAAAATAGAAGCTAGTTTGAAAGCATCTCCAGAAATAAAGATGATCTCTAAATTCATACCACTCTTATGTTGACGGCTTAATATACCTGAGCTGCCTCATCTTCTTCCAAAGAAGGAGCAACATTTTGGTCATTGCTCAGAGGCATACGGCCAGACACATCAGTGATGAAGAAGGCAGACTCATCAATGAAGCCAAAATCACCCCAGGAAATTCCTATTGCTCCATGTGCAGCTGGCAGATTGGTGTCATCTATGAGACAGGCAAACAAAAGCTTTCATCAATTACTCACAAAGCAAACACACATTACAAATAAGCCCCATAGAGGAAGCTGTGGGAAGCAATTATCTAAAAGTAGAAATAAAGTGGGTTAGATTTGAGATGCAGATGACAGTGCCAGTAGAGCACAGTGGGGAAGGGTACAGGTTTGTGCAGGCAGAGTGCTTACACTGAAGTGCTTGTACCACTATTTTTTTTTTTTTGTAGAGCACAGTGGCTCAAGGTTCAAGCCAGTGTAGCTGCAGGGTTAACGGCACTGGCTCTAGAGCCAGACTGCATGGCTTTGAATCACAGCTGTCATGTGCGTAACTGTGGGCACAGACTTGTTAGTCTCTCTGAATTTGTTTTCATCTGTAAAACCAGGATATTAACAACATTTACGCTATAGGGCTATTATAAATATTAACATATGTAAACTGCCTAGAACTATGAGTGTCTCCCACAGATTACAGGTAAATATTAGTTGTATCTACCTGAAGAGAGTCTTTCAGCATTGATTACCACTGTATGGTTTCATCATTATCAACATAGGCAGCAGTATAACGTGGAAATGCTTAAATATCTCAGCTGATAAACACCACAGAGATCTGGGGAGTTAAGTCACACACTCAAATGTGCATCAGACTCACTTGGATTTATTAAAGTGTTCAGAATAAGCAGAGACCGTAACCCACAGTTTGGGATCTGAACCCAGTGTGTCAGCTTGCAAAGCCTACACTGTGAAACACAGCGCCTTAGGTAACTCCATTAAAGACAGACAAACTGGTAGAACAAGTGAGAGAAATATGAACTCTCATAGATTTTTCATCGGAAACCATGAAATTCAGAAAAAAATGAGACAAAGATAAAATTATCAGCTGAAACCATAAATTACAAGAAGGTACAGGGGACAACTGCCACTCAGGTATATGAAAACATGTGAGACATCAATGATTCTTCCACGTGTCGCTGTAGACAAAAATATGTATAAGCTCTGCAGTGGGCTCTGCAGTGACAGATTTCAGATAACAGCTAAGGAACAGCCCTCTGTGGCAAACTTTGCTGACTCAGCCACCTCTCCTGGAGGTTTCAGCTCTGCTGGCAGAGAAGTAACAGGGACATGCCAGCACCAGAAAGACAAGGCCTTGCTGAGAAAATGCTGCTGACCAATGGAGACTCTCTTCGGCACTTCCTCCTGAAGGCACGAGAATTTCCTCTAGTGAATGCAAGTGCCTGCACAGGTGGGAGAGTATAGGCAGCAAAGGGCCGAGGTGTCAGAGTGTGGGTGTGAATCTGATGGACACATCCTCTTCCCTGGCTGTGTCTCTCTGACTCGGCTGTAAAACTGACAAGGTAATCCTAGGACTTCCATCTTTGGAGGTTTGTATTCATGACCTGCTTGCGTTGAGTGTCTTTGCCCAGTGCAGGGCCCATCCAAGGGCTCATCCCAAACAGAATTCATTACTTCAGAATTCAATTCAGAGCAGGGACGTGATCCACCCAGCAAACTGTTTCACATCTGATTGGACTTCCACCAACAATATTCAGCCCTTCTAAAGTACCCAAAGGGCATGCGTTCAATGCTAGACTCAGGGAGATGTTTAGGATGCAAAATGGGAACAAAATAAACTAGATGTAGTCCCTGTCCTCTTAAGAGCAACAGATATGTGGGTCCTTCAAAAAAGTTCATGGTTGGGGCTGGCACTGTGGTGTAATGGGTAAAGCCGCTGCCTGCATTGCCGAAGTTCCACATGGGTGCTGTTTCTTGTCCTGACTGCTCCACTTCCTATCCAGCTCTCTGCTATGTCCTGGGAAAGCAGTAGAAGATGGTGCAAGTCCTTGGGCCCCTGCACCCATGTGGGAGACCCTGCAGAAGCTCCTGGCTCCTGACTTCGGATCAGCACATCTCTGGCTGTTGTGGCCATTTGGGGAGTGACCAGCAGATAGAAGATTTCTCCCCCTCTGCCTCTGCCTCTTTGTAACTCTGCCTTTCAAATAAATGAATAAATCTTTTAAAGAAAGTTCATGATTAAACATGCTTATTTGGGTACAAACTATTTTGAAATCACATATACGAGTGTGTTACTCATCCACACAGTTTCAAACAAATGCCAAAGTGGGCAAAAATAATGAAATTTAAGGGGCTGGCATTTTACACCTATTGGGATGCCCTCATCCCATACTGGAGTGCCAATTCAGTCACAGCTATATCCTGCTTATGGGCCTATGATGCAGCAGAGAACAAGTCTAGCACTTGGGTCCCTGCCACCCACCCACATGAGAGACCCGGATAGAGTTCCTCCTTTTTGGCTTAAGGCTGGCCCTGCACCATCTGTGGCATCCAATTGAGGAGGCAACCAATGGATGGATGATCCATTTTTCCCTCTCTTGCTGTTACTATACTTTTCTTTCTTTTTTTAAAAGATTGATTTATTTATTTGAAAGGCAGAGTTACAGAGAGGCAGAGGCAGACGTGGGGGTGGGGAGAGACAAAGAGACAGAGAGAGAGAGAGACAGAGAGGTCTTCCATCCGCTGGTTCACTCCCCAGATGGCTGCAATGGCTGGTGCTGGGCCAATCCGAAGCCAGGAGCTTCTTCCGGATCTCCCATGTGGGTGCTGGCCCCTACTATAGTTTTCAAATAATGAAATAAAGAAATCACTAAAAAACAATGAAATCTGCCTTCAAAAGGGAAGATCCTCGACTAAGGACATATAAAGAGAAATGTGTCACACAATCACTGAGGATGTACGCAAGATAATTCCCACAATTTGTGGAGGAAATCAAGAGGGAAACGCACCCCCAGGACCGTCATTCGTCAGAAGAGCTCAGGACTGGGGCAGATAGTAGTCTGGGACACAGACGCTCAGGGTACTGAGGTCGCCCCACCCCCACCCCATACCAAGATGGCGACTGCCTGGGCCCGCCGAGCTCCTCAACGCCCCTGAAAACCCTGAGCCAACAGTATGGAGCGCCACTATGGACAAGGCCCTTGTTGGGAGGAAAAAGGAACTATACCTTCCGGGACTCTTATAGGGTGCATATTCTGTGCCTCTTCATCTTCGTTCGCCTCTAAGACAAGACTCTCTGCAATAAGCCGGAACATGGTCCCTCCGTCACACAGCCTAGGCACTGCTTTACAGCAGACACAAGACTGTTTCGATAAAGATTCTGCCTCCTGGGCGCTGTTGTCGGGGCTTTCTTGCGCGCTGAGTCCACCACGCAGCCAGCGGTGGCGTAGTACACGCTGGGCATGCACAGTTGGGCGGGACTTCCTGGCTCTTCCCGCCACAGGGGAGCACAGAAATGCGACTGCCAACCGGAAGTGGATTTCACTCGGATCCCTCTTGTACTTGGTAGGGTGGAGGTTATCCTGTGTGGTATTCTTCCGGGAGTGCCTGGGAGGTGAAGCGGCAACCAGCTGAGAATGGAAGCAGGCTCCTTTTACAGGAATTTGGAGTCGGTTGTTTGTCTCACGTAGATGAGGAATTGGGACTCAGACAGTGAGGATGTGCAAAAGTGAAAGTTTTATTGAGAGAGATTTTTGCTACCCACGAGGGGTACACATGAGAGGGGGCCATCAATGTTTGGGTTTTGGGAGCTCATATAGGGAATGCATATCAGTTGATCAATTCTTCAACACAGTTTCAATACCAGGAATCTCCTTTTTTTTTCCTGTTTCTCGGAGGTACTCATGGTTATGAAGGTACCTGGCGGACCTCTTGAGAAATGTAACAGTTGAGAACATGCTGTTTTGTGGCGTGCTCTGGTCTGGCAGCAGAACCTAGTTTCTTATAAGGATACAGAATCCTTTGTGTTCCCAAACTACCAATTTTTCATTTTCTTAGGGCAATGTTTTTTTGTGTGTGTAATCAGCCAATGGCAGCGTTCATACAAACACCCAGTTCCTTATTCCTGCAGGGGCTTTTTTCTTAAAAAAAAAAAAAAAACCTTTTATTTAGTGAGTATAAATTTCATGAGTACATCTTTAGAAATACTTCTTTATTCTTCCCACCACATCAGCCCCCTCACCCCCAATCCCTCCTCACTTCCTCCTCCCTCTCCTATTCCCAGACCCACTTTTCCATTAAGATTCATCTTTAGGGGATGGTGCTGTGGTATAGCGGATAAAGCTGCTGCCTGCAGTGCCGGCATCCCATATGGGCACCGGTTTGAGTCCCAGCTGCTCCACTTCCCATCTAGCTCTATGCTACTGCCTGGGAAAGCAGTAGAATATGGCCCAAGTCCTTGGGCCCTTGCACCTGTATGGGAGACCCGGAGGAAAATCCTGGCTCCTGGCTTCAGATCAGTGCAGCTCCATTTTAAAATTAACTTTATACACAGAAGACCAACTCTATATTGAGTAAAGATTTCATCTAGTTGCACACACACACACATACTAAATATAAAAAACTATTTGAGAACAAGTTTTACAGTTGAATCTCATAGTACAACTCTTAGGACAGAGGTTCTGCATGGAGAGTAAGTTCACAGGGACTCCTGCTGTTAATTTAACAATTAACACTCTTAAGTATGACATCAGTGATCACCCAAGGCTCTTGCCATGAGATACTCAGGCTATGGAAGCCTTTTGATACCATACTCTCTGTCAGTATTTAGGCAAAGCCAAAGGCAAAGTGGAAATTCTATCCTCATTTCAGAGAAAGGTATGTCTTTCTTTGATGGAGGGGCCTTTTCTTACTGCCTGTTAGCCTTCTAACTCCTCAAACTCCCAGGTTAGAGATTCCACTCCTCATGGACTCAAGGTCATTTTCTCCTTCCTTGGCTCTGGGTACCCTACCCCTTCTTCCATTTCCATAGTCCTGTCTGCACTCTTAGTAACGGATTCCTGTTCAGAATGCACAGATACAGCAGAAAAACGGAACTTTCACACCCATTTGGGTCTCCTAATACAGCCTGGGCTCAGCTCTTCTTGGGAGGTGAGGCAGACTGTGGCTTTAGAGCAGAGCACCCATTGTGATCCAGGGACATAGTTTCCAGTGTAGGTCATCAAATTGACCTGGAGTGAGCGTGGCTAGATGAACAGCAGGGTGAGATGATGTAGTACCATGCAGGGCATTGGGATGGTATCACTGTTGTTTTCTACAAAGGCTTTGGTTATGGGGAAGCAGACACAAGGGAGTCCAGTGTGCCCCACGCCTGTGAATCACTTAAGAGTCAGGGCATCCACTTGTCAAAGCCCATCAATAGGTAATAATTTAGTGGCTATTAATAGTCCACTGTGACCTTGGCTGGTGGGCTCCCTGTGGCCTTGGGATCTGAGACCAAGCCCTGAAACCAGAATCCCTGCCCCCTTTTCTCCTCAGCACCTGCCTTCCATTGCAGACAGCTGCCTAGATCCTGGACTTTTCTACACCCAGATTCTCCACCCACAGTGCCCTGCTTTGCCCACACAAACCCACTTTCTGGCACAACCTAGGTTTCTCTTCAGGGTGCCCTGCTGGGCCAAGCATTCTGGGACACTAGGAGGTGACTTATAGTAAAGTGAGGGGACACATTTATCCATCCAGGGTCCCACTTTCTGAAGTGCAGCCTCTGCAGCCTCACTCTCCTGCCTCCAATACTCTTGTCATGGATGTCTTCCCAGTCTCAGGAGATTCCAACTTCTCAGTTCTTTTGGAAGACTGGGGGGCAGAGTCTGGTCTTCAGTACTACTCATTTGGACCACCCTCACCACGCACTGCCCATGACCCTGTCAGATCCATCACTCAGAAACTTCACTGTCCCTGGTTTCCAGGGAATGTGTGAGCCTCATCAGCCACCAGGTCCCTTAAAAACCACCAGATCCCTTAAAAGCTCCAAGTCTGATACAATTACATCAGCTATATTTGCCTCTATCTTTTGTTACATGTGTTTTTGGTATCATCTCTAAGAAATCACTGTGTACTCCAAAGTCACAGAAAGTTACTCCTGTGTATTACAAAGCAAAGACTTTTAAAATTTTCTTATTTTCATCCATTTTGACTTAGTTTTGTGGTTGGCATGAGACATAAGTCCACTTTATTCTTTTTTTTAATTATTTTTTCCCTACTGAGAAACTTTTTATTTAAGGAATACAGACTTCCTTCCTTTCCTTTTTTTCTTTTTAAAGGAATACAAATTTCATAAGTACAACTTTAGGAATATAGTGATTTTCCCCACCATTCCCGCCCTCCCACCCACACTCCCACCCCTCCTCCTCCCTCTCCCCTTCCCAGTCCCATTCTCAATTAAGATTCATTTTCAATTAACTTTGTACACAGGAGACTAACTCTATACAAAGTAAATATTTCAACAATTTGCACACACACACAAAACACACATACACACACATACACAAACCCTGTTTGAGAACTTGTTTTATAACTCTCAATAAAACTCATTGAGAACAGAGATCCTGCATGAGAGTTACTGCAGTGACTCCTGTTGTTAATTTAATAATTAACACTCTTACTTATGACGTCAGTGACCGCCCAAGGCTCTTGAAATGAACTGCCTAGGCTATGGAAGCCTTTTGAATCCACAATCTCCGTCATTATTTAGATAAGGCTATAAGCAAAGTGGAAGTTCTCTCCTCCCTTCAGAGAAAAGTGTCTCATTCTTTGATGGCCACTTCTTTTCACTGGGGTCTCACTCACAGAGATCCTTCATGTAGAACATCTTTTGTCACAATGTCCTGGCTTTTCATGTCTGAAATACTCTCACAGGCCTTTCAGCCAGAGCAGGAAGCCTTAAGGACTGATTGTGATGTCGGAGTGTTACTTAAAGCAATTGTCATTCTATGTGGACTCCCATGTTGGACATTCTCTTCCTTTTAAATATATTATTACTGCTAGGCACTTTATCCTGTTTGAATGATCACTTTAACACTTAATCCTATCTATATGTTCAATTTAACACTTAATCTGGTCACTTTAACATTAAGATGGCATTTGTACCACCAATTTTAATGGAATTTGGAGTCCAATGACAAGTTTTTAACCTGTACCCTTAGAAATAAGTCTGTAGGAATGTATGTAGAACTATGCAGTTTTACAATTACAAACTTCCTCCTCCTCTTATTCCCACTCTTATTTTTTACTGAGATCTATTTTCAATTGACTTTATACACATATGATTAACTCTATGTTAAATAAAGAATTCAACAAATAGTATGAAGAAAAAAAGACAGAAAAAAATACAAAGAAAACAAACTGTTCCTTGATAGTCAAGACAAGGGCAGCTCATGTAATCCTTTCTCAAAGTGTCAATTTCACTACTACAGATTTTGTTTTAGGTGCTCTATTATTTCTTTTTTTTTTTTTTTTTGACAGGGAGAGTGGACAGTGAGAGAGAGAGACAGAGAGAAAGGTCTTCCTTCCATTGGTTCACTCCCCAAATGGCCACTGCAGCCAGTGCACCACACTGATCCAAAGCCAGGAGCCAGGTGCTTCTCCTGGTCTCCCATGCGGGTGCAGGGCCCAAGCGCTTGGGCTATCCTCCACTGCACTCCTGGGCCACAGCAGAGAGCTGGACAGGAAGAGGAGCGACTGGGACAGAATCCGGCGCCCCGACCGGGACAAGAACCCAGGGTGCTGGCGCCGCAGGCAGAGCATGAGCCTATTGAGCCGTGGCGCTGGCCAACGCTCTATTATTCTTACAGATCAGGCAGAACATATGGTATTTGTCTCTTTGGGACTGGCCTATTTCACTAATTATGATGTTTTCCAGATTCATTGATTTTTGTTGCAAGTAATCAGATTTCATTTTTTTTACCACTGTGTAGTATTTCATAGTGTACATATCCCATAATTTCTTTATCCAGTCTTTGGTTGATGGGTGGTTAGGCTGATTCCAGCTATTGTGAATTGAGATGCAATAAACATGGTGGTAGAGATAACTCTTTCATATGCTGATTTCATTTCCCTTGTGTGAATTCCCAAGGGAGAAAAGCAGGAGTGGGATGGATGGGTCATATGGTAGGTCCATATACATATTTCTGAGATATTGCCAAACTGTCTTCCATTGGGCTTGATCAGTTTACATTACCACCAACAGTGGATTTGGGTAACTTTTTCCCCACATCCTCTTCAGCATTTGTTTATTGATTTCTGTATGAAAGCCATTCTAACTGGAGTGAGGTGAAATCTCACTGTGGTTTTGATTTGCATTTCCCTGAAGCTAATGTGTCTGTTGTCCATTTGGATTTCCTCTTTTGAAAAATGTCTGTTTAAGTCCTTGGCCCATCTCTTTTTTAAAATTTTTT